ACTTGGGCCCAGTAGGGACAGGGTAGGGACCATCTGACGGCCCCATTCTGAATGCCAGTTTGGAGCAGGCTCTGCTGTCTGGCTTTTAAAAAAAAATGCCAGACTACCCACAGAGGTCCCTTAAAGCTAACAACGGAGTGTCCTAAGCCTCTTGCTACTCCCTACTAGGCATGGGAGGTCATTTCAGGCATAGCTTGACTTACAAGACCTTGGAAATATGACCCCACTACTCTCCATCTGCACCAGAGTGGCAGGCTTCTAGGAAAGTTCTCAGCACTTCTAATGTACCTTGTGCTCTTTCTGGTTTCTCTAATCTTCTGTTCTCCTTACTGGTAAATATTTTGTTCTCACTAGAGAAGCCACCTTTCTCCTTGCTTGGCGTAATGTTATCCCATACCAGCTAAAATAGTTACTCCCTCCAGTGTGAACTTCCAGATCCCCATTGCATGTGGTCCTCTCTGTACACACAGGGCTTGGTTCCAGAACTCCCCCTCTCCCTCCAGATACTAAGATTCTTGGATGCTCAAAACTCTTATATAAGAGTCTAGTATTGCCATATAGCCCATGAACCTCCTCCCAAATATTTTAAAGCAATGATTCTCAACCTGTGGGTCACTTGACCCCTTTACAGGGGTCACCTAAGGCCATCAGAGAATGCAGATGTTTACATTATGACTCATAACAGCAAAATTAGTTCTAAAATGGCCCCCATGACATGAGGAACTGTATTTAAGTGTCGCAGCATGAGGAAGGTTGGGAACCATGGGTTGAAAATGTTCTCTACATTACAGTAGCTAACAGAACACAAACACTATGCATTTGTTCCTGACACTAGCTGCACAGCTCAGAATGGAAAGAATAGGACATGGACTGGGGAAAGACATACAGACGATAATATGCTCAGAGATGATGCACTCGGTCACTGTACTGTCCTGCCTCAGCTTTGGGACAGGAGGTCTAGGCCAACAGCAAGACTGAGCAGCAACTGAAGGCCAAGATTCAAGGTCACCAAAGTCTTTAAACCATATCTAAATAGTGGTATAATAGAGTTTTTCTTGGGCAGGCAGGGGAAGGTGGTGTGTATTAGTTCACTTAGTTGGTTAGTTGATTTTCCTTTTTTCTTTTTTTTTTTCCTGAGATAAGGTTTCATATAGCCCAAGCCGGCCTAGAACTCACTATCTAGTTGAGGATGGCCTTGAACTCCTGATCCTCTGCCTCCATCTCCTAAGTACTGGAATTACAGGTATGAATCCCCCCCACCCAGCTTTTAACTTAGTTTTTAATAGCACTTTACAGTTTTTAACATCATCACCATGTGATCTTCTGACACTCATTTGAGGCAAACACTTTCTCAAAAAGAAAATTGACTTAATCAATGCTATTGGACAAATATATACAAAAGCCAACTAGAGCCCTAATACTCAGCCTGGAATGATTCAAGCATGTCCCTAGTTCCTTCATCTCCACTCCCAACCTCAGCCCCATGAGCTCTGGGACCTTGGACAAGTGGCTTATTTTCTCCATATACATGGCCACTGTGTTCCTATTATGGTGGTTTCAAAAAACCAGGTAGGAAAATAGGCTTCTCAGGGATGGGGCAGCTTCTAGGCTTTTCCATAAGAGCCCAAGGCCCCTAAGCATAGAAGAAGAGCTGGGTCACCTGCCAGGTCTGCATACATCCATGAAAGAAATTATTTTCTATTGTGGAAAAAAATAGACGAACGAATCATTCAAAAATATACCTACTTTCCATAGTGCCTAACACGTTTTTAGAGGCTGCATATTAGTTAATTATTCCCTTCCCTATATGAACACTGAAGAGTAAATCCAATCCATCACTAGCAGGATTCTTGGACCCAATCTTTTGCTTCACTGCTGAAGACAACTTTTCCTCTTGGACAGGTACATAGAATATGTAACAGTCGTGTAGGTAGAGTTTTCCTGTCCTGCAACCACTCTCAAATAAACACACTGAGGCTTATATTAATTACAAGTGCTCAGCTAATAGTTCAGGCTTATTACTAACCAGCTCTTACAGTTTAAGTTAGCCCATATTCCTTATTTACACTCTGCCACATGGTGGTACATTTGTTAGCATGGCACATTCATCTTCTGTTCTCTCTGTCTGGCTGGTGACTCCTCTGACACTGCCCTTCTTCCTCCCAGCGTCCTCAGTTTGATTGCTGTCTGACAACAGCTAATCAGCATTTTATTAAACAAATTCAAGTGACAAATCTTTACAGTGTACAAAAGGATTATTCCACAGCACAGTAGACCATCAATAGCTTCCCATAGAACTATGGGCAATGTCTCTTAGAGTTCACAGCCCCACACGGAGAGTATAGACAACAGCTGCTGGAATTGAGAAGTTGAAAGCAGAGCACCTCTGACACATGCTCGCCTGTTGGTGATGGCCATTGCCAGAAGACCATCTCAGTGTATTGTGTATGTGTGTTCATACATGTGCAGTGTGTACATCACACATAAGTGTTTGCATAGACATATACACGTGTGCCCATGTGTGCCAGTCTGTACATATGTATTCATGTATGCCCTAAAGAAAGGGAAGCCTGGAAGACTTTAGTTAGCCACAGTGAGCTGGGAGGGAGTTCTTCTGACAGTCATGGTGGCAAGTGTGAGGACAGACTCACACTGTCCTCTGTACTGAGTGAAGTGGAGAAAGCTGGGGAAGCAGGCACACAAAGGGACTTCTCTCTCTTGAGATAACTTAGGAGACCAATCCCAATGAAGGCCCTAGGCCTGGCCCACTACAGAGTAGCACCATGGGTCAGATCCTACAAACTAGTTAAGACAAGAACTTGAGCATAGGGGAGAGAGGGAGCATAACTGGGTGGGATATGCACTCTTGTGTCCGGAGTCAGGAGATAGAAAACTGAACCCTGGGTTTAACAGTTCTATACCCTCAGGCATGTTACCAGCAAGACCCGTGTCTTCCCATGGAAAATAAGAGTCACAGTCCCTATGTCACATGTAGGATCCTTGTAAAACTGTAATCAGTCACAACGGAATCCATGTCTGTATCACACGCACTGAGGGGCACCACATCCTTTTTGCTCACAGCTACATACATACCTGATGCTTATAGTGTCTGCCCCTTTCAGTGCTTAATAAATGTTTATGTATGCCTGATCAGAACATGCAGCCATGGGCCTGGGGTCGGGAGTATTTGTGGACACATGAAGGAGAGAAAGTAGGAGACGGTCATGGTGGAAGCTGCCTGGAGATGAGACAGCTATAGAGTGGAGCTAGGACCAGGGTAGAAACGTGTCTGGCAGGGCAGTTGGGAGTCCCAGCTGGTGTTCCCTCCCTGGGGACTGTGAGTGCACACGGTCAGTCACCTTTACATCCCGCATGTTGTCTTAGGGCGCAGCATGACCCCTGGGGACGGTGGAAAGACAAATGGCTATAACAGAAAGGGTTCTCTTTCTACAAATAGTAGCCATGATCCAAAAGGAATACCATCTACACATCTCCATTGCCTACATAAAAATCATCAACAAACATGACCAGTGCATGCTACTTGAGAGGGACATGAGCCAGCTGCTTGGATGCCTTCCTAAAGAAAAAGAAAGACATGAATATTGGATTTTCTTAGTTGATTCTTTAGAATCCCAATCCCAATCCATGATGTCCCTCATTTTTTAGTATGTGTGGTTACACGTTCACCTGTATATAGACGTATGTTCTGTATAGGTGTATACACACTTGTGAGAGCCAAAGGACAATATTTAGTCTCAGTCCTTAGACACAGACACCATTTCTTTGCTTTTCTCTTTTTCTTGACACAGGTTCTGTCATTGGCCTGGAACTCACCAAGTTAATTGGGAGAGTCACGGGCCAAGGAGTCCCAGGGATCCGCCTGTCCCATCTTCTCAGCATTGGGACTGCAAGTGTGTGCCACCACACCCAGTTTGTTTGTTGTTTGTTTTTAATGTGGGTTCTGGGGATCAAACACAGGTCCAGCACTTTACCTACTAAGCTATCTCTCCATCTCATTTAAAAAATAGTGGTGTGTGTGTGTGTGTGTGTGTGTGTGTGTGTGTGTGTGTATGTACTGAGTAACCATATAAGTGGGAAAAGGTCAAAGAACACCTTGAGGAAATTTGTGCCCTTTCTTCCTTCCAAACTCTCCTACCTCTCCTTGCCCCCTCTCAAATTCATGACCTCTTTTCCTTTAATTATTATTGTTACTCTGTGTGTGTGTGTGTGTGTGTGTGTGTGTGTATAACTGCAACCTACTAAATCTGTTCAGTGTTGTTTGTAATGTTCACAATTTCAGGCCTGGCCATTTGGTATTATGTAACTAATTAGTGGGCTCATCCCTGGAGGAGACCATACGTCTCCTCCCCAGCACTCCTTAGTTGCCCGTGAGAGTTCCCACTCTTTATTAGCATGTCTATTGTTGTTGTACTTCTTTGGGTCTTGTTCAGGTAGCCATGTTATTGCAATGTCATGTTATTTCTAGGGGACTCAGCCTCACAGCAGACACTCTGATATTCTGGCTCTTACCATCTTTTCACCTCTCTTCCACGGTGTCCCCTGAGCCTGAGGTATAGGAGATGTGTTCCAGATAAATCCACTGGGGCTGGGCACCTCATGACCAGTTCTTCTCTGCATTTTGATGAGTGGTAGCTTTCTATAATGGTCTCCATCTGCAAAGAGAAGTGTCTTTGATGAAAAATGAGGGTTACATTTTATCAGGCAGAGAGAGAGAGAGAAGGAAGGGAGAGAGGGAGAGAGGAAGAGGGAGAGAGAGAAGGAGGGAGAGAGAGGAAGGTAGAGAGAGAAAGGAGGGAGAGAGGGAGTGAGGGAGAGAGAGGGGAGAGAGAGAGAGAGAGAGAGAGAGAGAGAGAGAGAGAGAGAGAGATTCCATGCTTTCACTGTACAGCCTGCCTTTAACGCTTCTAACATCGGGAGAGCCACACTTGATACCAGAGACAAGCCTCACACCCTGCTGACACACTTCTCTTTCCTTCCAGTATGTGTCCAGTAGACGGGCCATCACTCAGAACTCCACAGAGCAAGGTAGCTTCCACCCGAACCATCTTCCCCACCGCCATCGCCACCACTGTCACCACAGCCACCTGTGCCACCATGCCCGTCCAGGCCACCTCCACCACCAGGAGGCAGGGATGCACAGCGCTCAGGTGACACCCTGCCTGTGCCCACTCTTCTCCTGCCACTGGGAAGGCCACCTGGAGGTGGTGGTGCCTCATCTGCGGCAGACCCACAGGATCGACATCCTGCAGGGAGCAGAGATAGTCTTCCTGGCCACGGACATGCACCTCCCAGCGCCAGCCGACTGGATCATCATGCACTCCTGCCTGGGCCACCACTTCCTGCTGGTGCTCAGGAAACAGGAGCGGCATGAAGGGCACCCTCAGTTCTTTGCTACCATGATGCTCATTGGGACCCCCACCCAGGCCGACTGCTTCACCTATCGCCTGGAGCTCAACAGAAACCACAGGCGTCTCAAATGGGAGGCCACCCCGAGATCCGTCCTGGAGTGTGTGGACTCCGTCATCACTGATGGGGACTGCCTGGTTCTCAACACCTCACTGGCCCAGCTCTTCTCTGACAATGGCAGCCTCGCCATTGGCATCGCCATCACTGCTACGGAGGTCGGCGCCACGGATGCCGAGATGTGAGACCAGGAGCCGCTGGGTACCCGCGCTGCCTGTGCACCTTGGACCTCCAGGTGCCTGGACCTTTTTGTTCCCCCTCCCTTCCTTTTTTTCTTTCTTTTTCGTCTCAGGTAACTTGTGGTTGGTGTTAGCAGTCATCTGCCATTGGGCATTATGTTATGTAAACATCTGTGATTCAAGATCTTTGTGTGGAATCTGTCTCTGTGTTGTTGGTAAAAGTTTTGTAGAACATTTGGAAGATTCGACCAGAATAGTTAACTTCCTGCCACCACTAGCCTCTTTCCCTACTGCCCCCACAGGGAGAAAATACCAAGAAGCAGAGCACTGGAGTTAAAAGGGGGCTTGGCTTCCTTCTCTTTTCAGGCTGTTTGAGGCAGAGCCTAACTTTAGCAGTGGAGGCAGCCAGTCTGGGAAGTAGACCCAGTCAGTCATGGCTGACACCTTCCTGGAGCCCGGGGTCGAAGCTCAGCTGCATGAGCATGAGAGACAGAAGCAGTCGCCTGATCCAGGCCTGGGACAGCTGTCAGATACAAACCTCTGTTTTTCAGGTTCTCCTGGCCTCCTTCCTGGCCGTGCCATTCCCCTTTGCTTTGCAGTTAAAGCCCAGATGTTGTTGGTGCTTTTCTGAAAATCGATAGGTATGATGCAGGAAAAGAGCTGCAAGAAAAAAGACAGCACCAAATTAACCTCTAATCTCTGGAAGGGCGGGCCTGCCTCGGGAGATGTTTTAAATGCATAAATTATAAAACCATCACACACACATGCACACACACACACACACACACACACACACACACACACTTCCACTAAAATAACACATTTTTTTTTTAAATCAGGCAGAGAGCTACTCTGTCCTTGATAGTTTATACATAAGACCTGCCATCCATCATGGGGACCCCAGAAAGAAGCCTGAAGAGCTGACGCCAGCACACTCTGGGCCTCCCCTTTCCTCTCCTTACTCTCTAAACATGGCTGCTTAGAATAAGCTCACCATATGTAGAAGGAAGCCTCGGGAACCCAGCTCACCTCACCCTCCACTCCCTACTGCCACCCCCAGTCCCCAACTCACACCCCACACCCCACTGGCCCACCCCTACCCTCACTCCCCACCCACCTCCAGCCCCCGCCCTCCCCCCCCTCCACTCCCACCCCACAGAGGCTGGCTGCTCTCTCCTGTTTTGTTGTTAGAAAAATGCATCAGCCTTTGGGGGAAGGCCTTCCTGCACTGGAAGAAAGTGGGGGTGGGGCGGGGTCTTCGCTCTGCTTTCTTTCTGATTTAAGTCACACACCCTAAAGCCTTCCCAAAGGGGCCACATGTTCACAATGTGCTTTTCCTGTCAGTGTCGGGAGCCAGGAGAAAACATGGCTCCCCAAACCAGCACAGCTCTCAGGCACACCAGCTGGGCCTGGCTGGCCTCCCAGAGAACACTTAGTTTCAGGCAGACTGTCCTGCTGCCTGTCAGCAATCTTTTCCCCACCAAAAATACTTCATCTTAAAATACACTACCCTTCCCCCAAACTGGTCGATTCTCCAGCCACTTTTGTTGTAGCCCACGCTTGAAGCATACATTTATAGAACTATGAAAACACAGTTCTTTCCAGTCCCCCAGTCATGACTGGGACTCTGAACAGAGACGTCCTCCATCTACGGCCTGAGGAGCATGAAGACGAAGCTGTGAGGTATCAGGCAGCTGTGTCCTGTGGGCTCCAGGCCATCAACCTCCAACCATGGAAGCCCCAGCCCCAAGGCTGGTGTATCAGCCCTGGGAGACACCTGTGGTATGGACCCTTTCCCACTCCCCAGGGTCTCCCTAGCTGCCCAAAGGCAGGAGAAGCCACAGTTCCTCTCCTGGCTTCTGACGGTCATTTGTAACATCATAGGTGCCCCAACTAAACAAACACACAACACCTCACGAAGAATACATTTAGCACATACAGGCCTCGGGCCTCCTGCCGTGTCGTCTTTGCCTTTACAGAGCTGAACTGGGAATAAGTGCAGGCCGTGGTGACTGCACATGTGTTATGAGTAAGTGATCCCGGGCACAGACTGGAATGGTGGTTCCTAGAAACCTTCAGAATAAAGGTTAGGAAATGTGTTCTTTTCCTCCAACTATGGTGCTCCCAAGATGGCTTCTCTCCCCACACTAATATGCGAAGAACAGAAGACAGAGGAACAAGCTAAGACTAGCGAATTGGTAACAGAAGAGAAGAATGACAGAGTATGGTTGAGTGTTACTGCAACCCAAAGGCTCTCTCCTTTAGTCTTGAGTAAATCCTCACCACTCTGTCAATAAGCAGGTTCAGAATCATGCCGCGACCTTCTCAAGGTCACACGGCAGGACCACTCAGCTCTACCTGTGCAGGGTTAGTGTTCTCAATAGGAAGACGCTCCTGCCCCACCTCCACCCCCCCACCCCCCACCCCCCACCCCAGAGTTCAGCAGGGTCTTGCTTCAGCAGTGGATTGGAGACCCGGAAACTGAATGGGTCTTCACCCTGGAAGGATGAGGAGAATCCAGAGGGAAAGGCCAGAGGAAAATCTGCTTTTAGTGACCTCTTAGCATTGTGGAAGTAAGCTGGTCCCAGGGAGGTGGGAAGGAAGAGGCGCACAGAGGCCTCTCTTTTGCCTCCTTTGCCCACTGGCAGGGCTCTTGTTCATAGATTCTGGAACCCGGTTGCCTCATTCATGCCAAGACACTCAACCTACTGATAGCCTCTGAGGAATATTTGTGTTTGAATAGAGGACGTAGCCAGACAGCAGCACTTAAGAAAAACGTGGTTATCTGCATTTGAATTGGCAGCTGCGAGCAGTTTGTTCAAACGGTGTTTAAAGAGAAGCCAGCCTCTCCTTGAGTCTGAGCCTAAATGAATGATTGGTGGAGTAGCAGCATACGATGCAGATTCTCCCTAACAGTGAGTACGCGTATGAACCTGTACCTGGCACAGATCTAACATTCCTGCAGTTCGGGGATACTTAGAAATGGATCAGGGTAGTTGTCACAGTAGACCTGGTGGCTGCTGCGGACTGAAAGTTCCCTGTATGGCCCAAAGAGATAAATACTTGGAACGTATCGTCCCACATAATCCTCAAAGCAACCACATGAAGCTGCTTCTATGTGTATTGACAGATGAGAAACTACAGTTAGCAAACGGTAAAGCTGTCTCTACAGCCAGGCTTCTAACCAGCTCCACCCATGTCATGTCTATGAACTCCTGTTCAGGAGTCTGGAAAGGAGCCAGTCATAAAGTCTGAAGGGCATGGAAGCCCTGCTTTAGTATTTCAGTGCTAAATGTACCCTCTCTCTCCTTTTTGTCTCCTCCCAGACCAATAGCTGACTTGTATTCACACCGTTACATTTTTAGAATTTTGTAGGTATTACAACCATTACTGAAAATTGACTTATATATAATCTTACAATTAAATAAATTCTATTTAAAACAAGGATACTCAGGCTTCATTGCTTCCTGATTATTTCACCACCTTTTTTTCTGTACTCCTGATGCCATTTGCCCCACATCTACAAGGATCATGCTTACAATGATGCACCAATGCCTGCCTCCCAACTCAGTGTGCAGTGACTGTACGGGTATAGCTTGCAATTAGCTAGGATGGGAGGATTTACACTACCACCGCTGGAAAATACTATAAGCCAAAGTAGCCCCAAAGAGCTAATTCTTCAGCCTTTACCCTCCTATCACAGTCTAAATATGCACACGGGTTGGGGAGAAATGGCTTGGGAAGAGGAGTTCTTGGTGAGTAAACAGATGGTGGTCAGACAGCAAATTGTTCAGGAAATGCAACTCTACCGGGGAAGAGACCCTGACGCTTCCAAGTAGCTTCCTGCCTACTTGGAAGTACTTCCTGCCCATAACACCCTTCAAAACTACCCTCTACCCTACCCTGGCCTATACTGCTGCACACAGAGACTGCCAGGGAGGGCATGGTTCCCACTGCCACAAAAGTCACAAGACGTTGGAAGTCCTGTACCTGGAAACAGATTCTCTGAGGCGAAGAGTGAATCAAGGAGCCGGGCAGAGGGCTCAGTCACTAACGAGCTTGCTAAGCATTGGTGAAGACTGGAATCTGGGTTCCCAGGACTCACATGGCTCTGTCAGTAAGGTGTTTGCTGAGCATGCATGAAGACTAGAATCCAGGGCCCCAACACTCACATAAAAGCAAGTGATGCAGTGTATGCCTGTAATCCTGGCAATGGGGAGACGGGCAGAGGAGGATCCCTGGGGCTTGCTAGCCACATAGTCTACCTGAATCAGTGAGAAACCCTGAATCAAAAATAAAAATTAAGGCAGAGACACTGACCTGCCATGAATCTTTGTTCTCTACATATGATCACACATGTGCACACTCCCACTTCCACCACACACACACACACTCACACACACTCACACACACACACACTCACACACACACACTCACACACTCACACACTCACACATACACTCACACACACACTCACACACACACACTCACACACTCACACACACACACACACTCACACACACACACACACTCACACACACGAGCCAGTGCCTCAGTCCATTGGTTTCCTTGTAAAGGGTATAACAGAAATGAGGCTTTCTAAGGCTGCAAATTGGACCTAAGTTCTACAAGAAGGGACTGGGGGGTGGGGGTGTCAAGGGCTGAACATAAAATCTGTCTTTCATTTAAAACAGACTCTAATATAAAAAGTGATGTTTCCAGGTCAGATCATCACATTTCTGATTATTTGCTTTGAAGAGTTTCTCCACTAGTCAACTGAAGGAATACCACGGAAACAGACCCAGAAGATGTATTGTACATGTGATTGGCAGAACACGGCGGTCACCTACGCAAGCTGTCATTTGTCTTTCCAGCATTATATGAAAATGTTTCATTTTAAGTGTGCCAGAAACATCCCCTGTCCAAAAAAAAAAAACTTGTTTGGAGACTGGACACAGGGAAGGATGGACAGATGGACACCTGTTGCTTTCTCTCCACCCCTCCCCCATGGAAAAGCCACTAAGCTGCATTCAATATCATTTCTTTGAGCCCGTTGGGATCGGCTC